AAAAAATAAATAAATCATCCTGATATTAACATGGTATATTTACAGCATTCCAGTTACGATTAACTGCTTTTCACAGCTTCGTTTCGCATCCATGTTATGTGAAAACTATTTCTGGCTGCTCCTCTGCATAGAGGCTGTGAATTTAGCTGCTAAAGTGAAGCACATTTTGTATTTAGTTTGCTAAATAAAAAAAAATATTGAAATAAAGAGCTGAATTTTATCCTTTTATTCAGATTAAGATTAGAATTTGTTTTTATCTGACTAATTCTGATAGGAAGTATGACAGACATTTAACAACGAGTAAACAAATTAGAATGGGGGAAAAGCGGAATATTTATCTGTTTTTATTGAAATACAAAAAAAAGAGTATAAACTTTATTTACTTTATTTATAAATGATTGCATTTCCAGCTCTGTCTAGCTACATTTTTAGAATGAAATTATATAAAATTACTAGTGGTAAGAATATTTTTGTGGTTAAATATCATAACAAAAAAAGTCTTATAAATTATTTTAGCTTCATATTTATTTTACAAATGTTTTTTATCAGACCTCTTAGGCTAAGAGTAAAATTGACTGTAAATGGTTTCCCTTTTTCAACATCAAATTTTCCATTAAGATAATTATTATTTTTATTTTGGTGGTAAATTAGAGTTGGTCTTATTTCTCTCTGTCAAAATATAAAGAGAAATCTTTTCTTTGCACAAGGAAAACATCAGAAGACTTTTTTTCAATTAGATGTATTATGCATTTTAATCTATAATCAGACTGTATCTGCATGATTATCCCAGCTTATGATTCAGAAACAATTAGCTTGATTAATTCTCATGACTGATGCAGAAAATCTGTCCGCCATCATATTGGCAAACACTGATTATCTTGTCAATGCCAACATGAAGACCACCTGTTGAGTTTAAAATTAGATGTATTTCGTTTTCTAGAGCCCGACTCCTGCTGCGTTCTTCGCTTGCATTAACGTCTTTTCACAAAATTCTGTTTTTTACTGCTCGCCGTGCTTTTGGATCTGATGATAATGGCGGTAAATGCGACTGTTCGGCTTTTATTGAACTCGGAGCTGCTCTTGACCTCTGCGCTCCTGCTTCTGTTCATACAAAGCAGAGAACAGAAATCATTTTTGTATAATACGAATGCATTGAGGCCAGTCCTACTGTGTCTCTTCTTCTTCCAGTATTTTTTATATTTTTATGTGTGTGTGTGTATAATGCTTTCTTGTGTGTTTCTCTGTCTCTCTCAGCATCAAGCCGTTCTCCCAGCAGGCCTACCCTGTGCAGACAGCAGGGACCACCGCAATCGCAGGTGAGAGGGACCATGGGACAATTATCTTCTTTCTGCAAAGCAGAACGTCGGCTCTCTCTGCAGCCATTTATGATGTTTCCTCACCACAGGGTGGTCTTTGACTGCCGAGGCACATGGATCCCAAGCACTGCCTTCTTTGTCTCGCAAAGAGGTCAAAAGGAGGAAAACTGTGTCAAACTAACTTTTTAATAATTTAACACTATTAAGTTTACCTTGAATCTTTAAAAAAAAGAAAGAAATAATACATTTTGATTGATTTAGGAGTAAATTATCAGCTGAAATACAAAGTAAAGGTTTACAAATGAAGTCACTACACCAGTTTTATTTATTCCATATTCATCGTCATTTAATCCCTAAAAACAAATTTAAAGGCGGCATTTTGTTTCAGATGTGTT